CATTCACCAAAGAATGAAGGCTCAGATGGAGCTTTCCAGATAACCGAACCATGATCCTTCCAATGTCTACATTTTGTTCACAACTTTACTGTTTTCTGCTGATGGATAGGACCTTTTTTTCTCTGGGTTTTTTTTTTTTTTTTTTTTTTTTTGTTGTTTTTTGTGCACTCTCTTGCCCTCCTAAACAGAAAATAGTCACACCCCAGCTTATGATTGGAGTTGGACCAAAACTTCACTTAGAAATTTATTGCCTTGAATTTGGAATCTGTAGTATGATATGTGACTTGGTTAAACAATTCATTTATACATGTGGATATGCCTAAAAAATTCTCTCCCAGGACACACAAGAGGTTGTGGATGGTGTGTGTCAGTCTGGGGATGGAGACCAGAATAGGATGGGAAAGTAGAATTCATTTTTTAGTTTATACTTATCTGTAGTAAGTAATTTTTCCTTTACCTAGAACATATATTATTTGTCTAAATAATAACAATTAATTGACACACACACACACATACATATATATGTATATATATACATATATATATATATATTCATATGAATATTAAAGCTAGGGGTTGGGTTCCCAGGCTAGCTTCCAAAACCTATTCAACTCATGATGTAGCAAACAATACTAAAAGTGGACATTAGATCTTAGCCCCTTCTGTAATCTGTTTCTATGGAGAACCTGAGCCCCAAAAATATTTCCTCCTTGCCACTTTCTCCCCACATGTCCTCTCTCTAATAAGTGCTGCCCTAGAAATAGGAGGAGGAACTTGTGGATCCTGTCTGCAGGTACCATGGTGAATGAGGATCGCTCTCCTTCTAGAACAGTCTGAAGAGAGGACTCGGCATGGTCAGGCCCTCTATGTTGGACAGGAAGGCACATTTAGCAAGCACACACAGTGTGTGCTCTGTCTCAGACTTTACTGGTTTGCTTCTGACTGTCCAGTGAAATAAGTCAGGAAACCAAGGTTCTCAGAGATTTAGTAACATCCCTGAGAGTGCCTTCTGAAATCGACAGAGCTGAGCTTCCAACCTATAAGCTTGTGCACTGTCCTTTACAGATCAGAGACCGTCCAGCATAACCATTTCTTTATAAGGGGCCTATAGAAGTCAAGCATACGTAGGCACTTTGGACACGGCCTGAGGTTCTATAAGATCCTGTGAATCCTGTATTAGATGGGAAGCAAAGGGAGGGCAGGAGCCTGTTCCCATCCCTTTTGCCTCCTCAGTACTTAGCGCAGTCCTGGAAGCATGGTCAATCCCCCATAAATGTTTGAATAACAGGGAATAGCATTGCCTGCTCTGCTCAATTTTAAGATAGGAAATTGAAATCATATATTTAATATTTTTCAAAGGCAAAGATCAAAACAAGAAACATACTTTCTCATTAACCTTTGAGTGATTAGGAAATTCAAATAACTGAAGTGTTGTAAGGAAATCTCTTGGTTTATTAGGCATCGATCTGTAGGAGCAAATTGAAGGACATGCTATTGTGAGGTAGAAGAGTTTGACAGGCTTTAGAACCTTTCTGCCAAGTAGCACATTTATTTTGCTCTTCCCCTGGGGAAAACCTTCTCCCACTGCCATCTAACCAACCTACAAGCCAACTCTGAGAATACAGCTGAAGTCAGGGCAATGTGACCTTGCCGTTAATTTGAAGCATCCTCTGACAACTCAAAGTTGTTGAAAGAAAGTAAAGAGCCCATTTTTCTCAGCTGTAAAGGAGCTTGCCATCCAATGATAACTAATATATTACCTGATTTTCAAAACGTGACTATGTCTCTTCTGGGGGCTCCAAGTGCATTAGTTTATTATGCACTCTAATCACACAACCTTATGAGTCGGGTGTGATATGATTTCCATTATCAGAGGAACTACAGCTTGTAGAAATTAAATTACTAACTAGTAGCGGAATTGACATCAGAACCAAGGTCCTCCATAGATGATCTCTCTTAGCACACAAAGAGTAATGGCTTCTCAATAAGATGGGGACACAGAGGACACTAAACTTCAAGTCACTAGAGCCCATCCACACGTGCAATCAGTAGATCAAAAGCTACTATTGGGACCAAGAACTGGCCATTGGAAGTGGCAAGGGCGGTCTTGACCATGGCAAGAGCTATTTTGGAAGACTGGTGAACTAGAAACTTGTTTGCCTTTAAGAGCAAAAGAAAGAGTAGACACAATGAGCCTTGACAATTCTTTTGATGAATTTTGTTGTAGAGGGCAGCTGAGAATTGGGAGCCTCAGCTGGGGAGAGAGGTGGTGTCAAGAAAGAGTGAACATAGTGGAATGTCCGTATACTGATGCGAATGCTCTAGGACAGAGGAGAACAGTAATTTAGGTAGGAAGGGGGAAAAGCCACATAAGAGGGGACAGGATTTGATCCACAATGCGGGATGTGGCCTTAGATGGAGTAGAGATAGTTCACCCATAGTTACAGGAGAGGAGAAGGAGAAGTAGTGCAAGCAAATGGAGAGGGATGGCTGGGCTGTACACTGGTCTACTTGAGGTCAGCGATCATGGACTGGAAATAAGGCATGATGCTATGTTTCTCCAATCATGTTTAGCTGGGTGCTGACAGAGAGAAAGTGGAAAATCAGATTTTATCAGGGTTGTGGTTTTTCCAGGTAAATAGTACGGAGAGATGGGGTGGGGGGAGATGAATCTGAAGGTGTACATAACAGAGAAAAGGCAATAATGAACCCAGATACTAAGGTAGATAAAGGAGGAAGAGAGGTCATGAGAAGAGTAAGGGACAGAGAAAAGGTCATGGGATAAGGAAATCATAGGAGAGACACTGGATTAAGATAACAGAGTAGACTGGAAAGGTAGGAGGTGGTGTGTGGAGAGTAGAGTGCTTGACATTAAGATTAAGGATGGTGTCACTGTGAGAGCAGGGAGCTGGGACAGTTGGAGGATGGCAAGGAAAAGAGATAATGTTGAAGAGGTGAGAGACCAGAATATGAGAAGAATCCACTATGTATATGCAAAATAAGAAATACACAGGAATAGTACTGGGGAAAGTGACAGTGATCTAAGTGCCCGTCTCTTCAAGGAATGAGGTGTAATAATCCAAGGGTCTGAAGATGGCTACAATAAATAGAGGTGGTGGCTAACATGGTCTGTTACATTCAGGGAGAGTCAGGTTTGGATCAGAGTAAGATACTGAATGGAACCGTGAAGGGGCTGAGGATACGGGGGATTGTGCTGGTGATGAATCATGAATTCCTAAGGGCGAATGGGAGGATCCTAGGAGGTGGGAGAGGATGGAGTGATGCCTGCAAACTTTCACCCAGCACATTCACCTCTTGGATTTGGGAGCTCCAACTGTCAGGAGTGAGAAAAAAGAAGAGGACAGAGAGAGAGGCTAGGCGGCTCAGGGATGAAGCCCGTGCTTCGCCAGCATTCTTCCTCGAGCAATGGCTAGCCACAGTGGCTTCTTTCCACCCTCCCAGGTAATTTGTAAACCAAAAGCTGACAGTGGAAAACCCGAAGAGGGCTGAGTGTTTACAGAACTGGAACACACTGGCACAGATCCAGGGGCCCTCAGGCTGCCAGAGCTGGTGATCTGGTCTCTCCGAGACTAGACTAGAGGGCTCCCCAGAGGTTGCCCACACTGTTGACTCCCACTGTTAGTCTCCAAGGACAAGGACAGAGAAGGGACAGCCATTTCCCAAGTTTCCTCCTTCCTTCCTCTTAACTCCTCCCGGCATCAGGGAGGTCTTGCTCTGTGGAGCACATCCCTAAAGCCCAGAGCTGTCCCAGGCAGAGCAGTGAGTCAGTCCTGGGGGAAAATGCAAAATGCATCTGCCCAAGTTATTCAGGTCACCACCCCAGAGAGGGAAGTTCCCACAATCGAATATGAATGACTTCAGGACCTGCATCTTGGACTCTCAGATCATAACTTCTGTCTGTACGTCCTGCTTTAAAACCACTCAGCTCTCTATGTAGTAGAAGCAGCACTGCTCTGCTCTCCTCAGTCTCTCTCTCTCTCGTTCTCTCTCTCTCTCTCTCACAAACACACACACACACACACACACACACACACACACACACACACACACACAGTGCTGTGCAGTCCTATCCCTAAGTTATTTAACTTCGGAGGCTCAGTCTTCCTGCCTTTGAAATGGAGACATACTACCTTCGCTGTTTGAACCAAGGTGGTCTCTTAAGGGGAGGAAGTATTGCTTGGACTGCAGTTAGGATTCAGGTTCAAAAAGAAGAAGGGGGTTGGGAGCACTCGAAGCTCTTTCTCCCCTGGGGCAAGATAGACTCGAGCTTAGAAAATCCTGCCCAGAACAAACGGTCTTCCAAGCAGCGGAGTAGGGCGGACGTCATACAAGGCAGGAATCGTTTTAGAACTGGTTATGCTCCAGTTTTTAATAAATGGTCAGAGGGGGCGGGGGCGGGGGAGGACACCCTCCAACAGGGAGTCGGGAGGCAGCGCGCGCGCCTCTGCGGAGCGTGACGGCCGCGGTCGCCTAGCAACCGGCGGCGGGGATGCGCGCGGGGCTCCCTGCCTGGTGGGCGCGGGGAGCTCGCCGCCGCCACTGCCGCGCGCCCGCGGGCCTCCCGGACCCGCCGCGAAACTTTAGGGCTTCTCGGCGCCCGGGCGTCAACGCGAGGCCTGGCAGACGCAGCGATGCTCCCCTCCGGCTGAGGGCTCAGGATGAGGTCGCCGCGGCCCGGCGCGCCCGGCCCGGGGACCCGCGGGGTCGCACCCGCGCGGAAAGTTGGCGCGCACCTGCCCGCGCCTGGGAGACGCTCGGTCCCCGATCCGAATTGTCCCCGCAAGTTGCCTGGGCAATTTCTTACCCGCCTTGGATCGGGTGTCCCGAATCCCGCCTGGCCGCCGGGTCCACGGACTCCCATCGATGGGAGAGAGAAACCCGCGCTTTTCTAGGGGACCTGCTCGGTAACAGATGCTTAATCCGTTTGCCCTGAATGACTGCGATTCTGTTTTTGTTTTCTGCTTTCTTTCTTCCTCCAGACAGTGAGTTTGTGGAAGCCTCTCCTGCGCCCTACAGCCCGGAGGAGTTAGGTAAGTCTAGCCCTTTTGCCTTTTCTTCTCCGAATTCCGCCCTCCGAAAAAACCGAGAAACCGCGAGTTTGGGGGCGCCGAGACACTATCCGCCGCAGGGGAGGAGGGAAGGGGGCAGGGGACATTTCCCGGGGGGTGGGGGCGGTCACGATCCTTTCGCAGCAGGGACCGGCCTTTTCTCGGTGCGTGTGCTTTGGGGTGGCGGGGAAAGTGCCAGATGTGGCGCGCGCGCGCGCGCCTGTGTGTGTGTCCCTGTGTCCCTGTGTGTCCAGGTCGATGGTGCTGCTCCGAGGAGCAAGGCACAGCAAACTTCCTGGCCTGGGGCCTCTGGAAGCAGCCGGACTCATCTTGCCTGGAAAGACTCACCGGTGGCTGGCTCTGTCTTGCCAAGTACCTTGCCTGCCGAGAAGGGCAAGGTGAAGGTGGTCCATAACCTGAATTTAACCAAGTCGGGGACCCCAAAGGGTGGCGGTCTAGTCACGACCTGGGAACTGCGTTCCTCCCTGGTTTCTGTTCCTCATTCAGCCTGTAGGTGTCTGGGCATAGGGCATTTCTTCCTCCTGTGGTTGGTGCCTGTCCCTATAAGTGTAGATTTGTGGTTGGTGAACTGCGACACTCCTGTCACAGACAGACTGTCATACCTTCCTTGTGCAGAGGGAAGGAAATCTGCACTGTCAGGTTCCCTCTAAATATTCCTGCCACCCAGTCTCACTTTGGTGGCTCAGTGGTTGGTCCTCCCCCCCCCCCCCACCCCCCGACTTTCCAGTTTAGTTTAGCTGCTCACAGTCTGGGCTGTCAAATCTGTCCTTGCTGTTTTCTTATCACCAGCTTGAAAATCTTGCCTTCCTCGCTGGAATGACAGCTGTTGAAAAATGTTTATCCACAGTAACATTCACAGCCTTGTTTCTGGTCAGCCTCTCCTCCTAAATAAAATTCCACCTCCTGGATGCTTCCATTCATTTCCCTGGGCCAGGCACCCAAAATAGGTCTGGATCAAGGCTGGCATTCTGAGGCAGGAGACAGTACCTTGTTTGGTTCAGGAGATGTGTTTCTGACAAGTTGGCAACCCTTGTCTCTGTAAATGGAATTATAGATTAAATGCATAAACAAAACTAGCTTTCAAAGGCTCACTATAGCGAATCCTTTTAAGAAATGAAAATGCCATCTAAACAATAGCTTTGCATGAAGTGATTTATTAAGAGGACAGATTCTCGGTGATCTGCTCCACTCGTGTATAATTGTGTATTAATGACACCACCATCAGCACTCCACACTGTGACAGAAGCTATTTGGCTCCCTTAAATCATAGATAAGCATAAACAAAGGCAGGCTGAGCATTCCTTGCTCTGAGAGATCGCCTGTATAATTCCTAAATTGAGTTTGCATTCACAGGATGATTTATGTACCAGAAAGGCCCAGGTGTTTGACCTCCTTCCATTTCCATAGCTACTTCCCGGAGCAAGAGATTGGGCTGTGCTCAGTGCTAAGGCCCTGACAAATAGGGACAGCCCTTCAAATTTGTGGTAGAGAATAAGAAAGCAACCTTCTTTCTCCTCCGTTCGCCTGTGGGAAATGCCCAGTTTCTCATGAGGAGATGAGAGTGTTACCGGAACTGTGGGGTTCCCTCTTGGGCCCTGAGATTGCGGGATGCCTGAGAATAGAAAACACACGGCTGAGAGCCTGACACCAGGGTTCTCACTGCTTCGACGTCCTTAATAGATATGGTCACTAGCCTGTTTTCTCATCTTTGAGAAGCTGGTGTTGTGCCAGGTGACCTCTAAGGGACATCCAGATGCTGCGAGGAGCCCCAAGCGGAAGGAGGCCCATAGCCTCCTCTGGGTATTTATTATTTATATTCACGCGCCATATTGTTCGCGTGCACGGTGTCTCCAAAGGGGTATTCTCCCCCAGACAGAGTTGCTCACTAGATGGGACTGCATTGTTTCCATGCTGCTCAGATCAAAGAGGAAGCTGGCATCTCTCCCTTGGAAAGAGTCATTATGGTTTTCGGTGCTTTTCTTAGAAGCACAGTGAGAAAAATGCCTCTTACAGAGTTGATGAGCTTGTCATTCTTTCTGGAACACAGGGGAGTACAGAATCAACCCCTGGCCAGAATATTAGGGACCTGAAGAAGAAGTAAAGGGAAGTGATAAAATCTTAGTTTGAGGGGCGCCTGCATGGCTCAGTAGGTTAAAGCATCCAGCTCTTGATTTTGGTTCAGATCATGGTCTCAGGGTAGTGAGATCGAGTCCTGACTTGGGCTCCCCACTGGGTGTGGAACTTGCTTGGGATTCTTTCTCTCCCTCTGCCTGCCCCCCCCCAAAACAAACAAACAAAAACTTAGTTTGAATTCTATCATTGCACTTACTTGTGACCTTGGGTAGGCAACTAAACTGCTCTGAGCCTCAGTTATCTCCTCACCCGAATGGGGCCTTGCATGGATATTGTAGATGGTGTCTGTAAAGCCCTAGCACCATGCGTTGTATGCACAGGTCTTCAGCAAGTGCTTGGTGCTGTTATATTATTATTATTATTATTTTTTTTTCATTTGAAAGGTACTTACGTGCATGAAGAATGGAATGGCTCTTACCACTTGTCCCACCTATTAACCAACACCATTTTTATTTCTAGAAATTTCTCTTCAACTACCTGGTCTACAGGAATAGATGCTCAGGGATCTGATCAGGTCCATTGAATTATTTAGTGATTTGTCCCTGAAGCAGCACGTGGAATGGTTTTCCATCTGAAGCCTTTGGTGGCAACCCCGCTACTTTCTTGTGGTGATTGGTGGTTGGTTTCACCTCCAGATTTTCATCTAAGTCTCCAAATGAACTACATGGCCCCTTAGCAGGTTTATTCTCAGTGTTCAGCAAGATCGTGTAATGAAATTAACTTACGGAAAAACGGGATTTTGGAAAGGCAGTGGAGCCAAGAGACTATCTCTAGATGAGTGCCGTATTGAAGGCTGCCTGTGACGGAGAATCTGGAAATAAGCCCTCTCTCTGTGATGGTGCCATTTTTCAGGGAGACAAAGTCCACACCTCTTCATTGCCTTTCTATAGTCCCACCCATGGGCAGAAGTACTGGCCATCTGAGCGGGTAAGAAGGAACTCCTGGAGATTTGAGATGAATCCAGATGTGCCCACGTCTGCCCTTATCTAGTAACTTTTATCGACTCCCCTACCTAGAGGATACGTACTCGGTTAGGCATTGTAGGACCTCCATGATCTACATCACCCTCCACCTTCTCTAACTTTCTAATCACTTTGGAACCAGGGGCAGTCCTCAAAATCGAGCTCTGTTCCCTGCACCTGCCTGTTTCCCTTCTCTCTTCTCCTTTTCTCCTACCCCTCTTTCAACACTAAGCCCATGTGTCACATCCTCCTGGAGGTTGTCCACCCTGCACATTAAAAGTCCTGAGACCAAGCCTTCACCCGGAGCAGTTACATCAGAATTTCCACAGTGTGGCCCCAAGTATCAGTGTTTTAGCAGTGTGCTTTTTCCAAAATCACATTTCTGGTGTGCCTGGGTAGCGCTTAGGCAGTTAAGTGTCCAAATCTTAAACCTACTTAAAAAATAAATAAATGAATGGGCATGGAACCTACTTAAAAATTAAATTTCAAGTGATTCCTGTACGTAGCCAAGGTTGTGAGCTACCGCACTAGATGGTGGCCACCGCATTCTTCGTAAATCTAGCGGCCACATAGAGCCTGGCTTCAGTGAATGCTTGTTGAATGAGAGAAAGAGGGTCATCCCTGGGATGCTTTGCCTTATCAGGTACCTATCTCTAAGGTTGGCCCCTCTGCTTGTTATAGCCATGCACTCAGGGACAGAATCCTTCGACCTGTGCCTTGGAGTTCTCTCCTTTGTTCCTTCTTTAGTCTTATCCCGTTTATTTTTTACCTTTCTTAAAAGTCAAAGTTTTAAAACTGTTCTTCAGTATAAAAGTAACATGTGCTTATTTTAGAAAATTTGGACATTAGCAAAAATGGGGGGCAGGTCTCTTCTCACCATCGAAAAGCAGACAGCCCCCATGTTCCCTTCACTTCTCCTAATCAGTTGCCCTCTGGGCCTGACCCTCTGGTTGCCCCACTAAGCTCAGTTGCAGCTGTCAGTGCTCAGACCCTGTGAGCTTCCCCAAGAGTCCTGAGGGAGTGCTCTTGACCACAGCATTCTTAGGAGCCACAGGGCTAACTCCGCTGAGGGCAGGTATACCGTGAGAAGGAGTTTGCCTACGCAACTCTTACTTTCCTCATTCAAGCAGGATGTATGGGCTTTATTAGAATAAATGATAACGTGAGTGTAACTTCTTTAAAATAATAACTTAAATGTTTACCAGCCTACCCCCTTGCCATCTTTAGATACGAGATGAGTTTGCAACTCGTCATGATCAAGGCGGTTTTCTCACTTGCGTTATAGTCTTGTGTTGAGTTGTCTCAACCTGGAGGTAACAGACTCACTTCTAGTGAGTCTCACTAGTCCCATTGCCTCACCTAGACAGGGGAGGATGGGAAATGTAGTCTAGCAGTCTGCCAGGAAGAGCGCTTACATTGGTGATCACCAGCTGTCTCTACTAGTCATGTTGCTCAAAGCAATGACGGAGTCACATCCTGGCCATGCAGGTGCTTGGTCTCTGTATGATATAGAATACTGGCTTCGCTGCTATAACAAAGGCTAAAATGACAGTGACTTAAACATGAAGCAAGTTAGTTTCTCTTTCACTTAGAGCATAAGCTAAGCAGTCCAGGGCTGCTATGGTGGCTTTGTTGTGCTCTGAAGTCCTGAAGTGTTGCTTCCACACAGTTTAGGGTGGCTGCTTCAGCTCCTACCATCACGTCTGCATTCCAGTCCATAGGAAAGACAAAAGGAAAACAGAGGGCACAACCTGAAAGCTGGGCACATCATTTCACTTACGTTCCTTTGGCCTGTACTTGAATCAGGTGGCCACACCTAGCTCCAAGAGGACTGGGAAAATGGGGTGGGAGTAAGGTGGAATCTGT